CTATTTTAAAATGGGTTATTTTATTTATAGATGATCTATCCTATTTTACAATATGAGTGATATTTCAAAGCAAATGCTAAAACCCACATCATAAACATTTAAAAATGAACAGATTGAGGTGGGTAGTTGGGATTAGCTAAAAATGATGCAAACTCTTTGAATAGATTATAGTCTCATTTCCTGTGAAGTTACAGGAGCAGAAAATATCAATGACTTTCTAAGGTGAGACAGTAGATTGACCTTGTTTTCTGCACTGCCACACACACATTGCTTTGGAGGGAGAGGGCTCAGTTCTCAGTCTTGTAGAGAAGTAGAAGTGGAGGGAGCTCTCTGTGGTCGGGATGGAGAGAATCGGGGATGAAAGTTCAGGTTACAGTTGAGGTGATCGATTGGTAGACTGCTAGCGACAGATAGGGAGAGCTCTGTTCACACATGCAGAATCAGTTTCTTCTGTGCTCTAACAAGTTCATTTTTAAATCTATTGACAAGAACCTGTACAGCTATTGGGACTCATGTCACTTCCTGTTCTAATAAATGACAAAATTATCCTCTTTTTAAAAATTTTAATTGATACCTAGTTGTATATATTTATGGGGTACAGTGTGATTTTTCAGTTCACAAATATAATGTACAATGAACAAATCAGGATACTTATCATATTCATCACCTCATACATTTATTTTGTGTTGAGAATATTCAAAATTCTCTTTTTTAGTATTCTGAAATATACAGTAAATTATAGAGTAACTATAGTTACTCTATTATGCTATAGAATACTGAAATTTTTATTTTGGTGGGGGAGGGTTTTGCTGTAGGGCATGTGTGCTCGCCAGAAAGACAGAGACAAATAGACAGGAAATCGAGAAATCACCCCCCCCCGGGGGGGGGATAACCATGCCTCAATCCCTTCTCTTCCATTCTCCTCTTGGGATCTTGGGCACACGTGCCTGGCATGAGTTTAAGCCACTGGGTCCAGGACTTGAACTGTGGTTGACTACATGGGAGTCCAGTGAAGTAGCTATTACACTATCTGCTGGTCCTGACACTGGAATTTATTCTTCTTATCTGACTCTAATTTTGTATCTATTCATCAACATCTTTCTATCTCTCTATCTTCTTTACCCTTCCTTGACTCTAGTAATCACTGCTCTACTTTTCACTTCAATAAGGTCAACTTTCTTCTTCTTATTATTTATTTAGGTTTTTGCCATAGGTTGTGTGTGCTCACTGGGGAAGAAAGAGAGAGTGTGAAATCATCCCTACGGGGATGACCATGCCATAATCTCTTCTCCCTTCTCCTCTCAGGATTTTGGGCATGCATACACGAGCCCTTGGCGTGATTTCCAAGCCACCAGGTCCAGGACTTGAACCACAGTTGGCCATGTGGGAGACTAGTGCCTTAACCACCTGCTGGCTCCAAGGTCAACCTTTTTAGTTTCCACCTATGAGGACGAACATGTGATTTTTAGCTTTCTGTTCTTGGGTTATCTCACTTAGCATAATGTCTTCCAGGCCCATCCATGTTTCCTCAAATGACAAGATCTCAGTCTTTTTAATGGCTGATGAGTACTTCACTGCTTGCGTGTGTGTGCATGTGTGCACGTGTGTATGTGTAGATAGCATATTTTCTTTATCGATTTATCTGTTGATTAGCAATTAGATTGATTTTATATGTTGGCTACTGAAACATGGGAGTGCAAATATCTGTACGACACACTAATTTCCTTTCTTTTGGATATCTCCTCAGTAGTGTAAAAAATTACCCTCTTGAAAGTTTAAAATCAATATGACCAAAGTTGAGTTAACACACCCATTTAATGTTTAAACATTTCTGAGACAATTAAATACCTGGTGATGTTTTCCTGTTTGCTTTCTTTATCTGTTAGGATGCCCTCAGTTATAGGTAGTAGAACTCTAAGTTAAATTGGCTTGAAGAATAAAGAAATATAGGGCCAGCCAATGATGGTTAAGGTGGCTGTATCCCACATGGCTGACTGCGGTTCAAGTCTGGGATCCAGTGGCTTGAGAAACACACTGAGCACGTGTGCCTGCATGCTACCAAATTTCAAAAGGAGCAAGAAATAGAGGAGAAGGGATTGTGGTGTGACCAATCCCCCATGGGGGATGCTTTCTCACTTTCCCTCTCTTCCTCTCTCTCTCTGTTTCTGTTTGGTGAGTGCACATGACCTCTGGCAAATAATAATAATAAAAAAGAATAAAAAAAAATGTTCTCTTAAAATAAAGCCAGAGGTAAAGCTCCTGGCTTCATTGACTCAGAAGCACGATTTTCACCAGTGGTTCGAGTCTTGCCACACTGCCATCCTTTCACATCTTGGCTTCTGTGAATAACGCAGCAGTCAACACGGGAGTGCAGAGAGCTGTATCCTGACTTTGCCCTTGGCCTGCCTTCCTCATAGTTGCAATGGCAGCAGCAGTTCCAGGTGTCACAGCCAGACCAGACACTGTCCAGAAAGAAAGCAACTGCTTTCATGGTGCTTCTCCCTAAAGAGAGAGAAAACCCTTCCAATGGTCCCCAAGTAGAATTCATCTTGTCTCTACTTGGCTGGGATTGGGTCACATACCCACTTCTAAACAATTATGGGCAAGGGGAATGTGGTCACATAATTGGTGAAATGGATGGGAGTGGGTGTCAATCATCATGACTATCACTCATGATTTCTGTGTTTTTGTTTCCTTCTCTTTTGGCTGGTAGTTATCTGTCTTCCTGTCTTCTAAGAATCTTAGGACCAATCTTGTTAAATTAATATCCTCATTTTAGTTATTTATGTTTCTTTCTTTCTTTCTTTTTTTTTTTTTGAGAGATTTTTTGCTATAGGGTAGCAAAAGGTACTTGTCTGAGAAACAGAGCGAAAGTGAGAAATCACCCCCCAGGGGAGATGGCCACGTCGCAATCCCTTCTCCTTCATTCCTCTCTCGGGATTTTGGGCACGCACATGCACCTGGCGTGAGTTTTAGGCTGCTGGATCTGGGACTCAAACCACTGTTGACTACATGGGAGTCCAGCGACATAACCATTACTCCATCTGGTGGTCTCTATTTTTCTAATTTTTTCTACATTCTTCGGTATGGTGTAACACAGACTGTGATAGCAAAGAAAAAATGTTTTGCAGAAAACAGTGGGCAATGTAAGATTTCATGTGAGATGCACAATTTATCAGTGTACTAAAAGTCAGTGTATATTAATATATAACATGTTAAGCTATGGTTTAAAAGGTTACTAAGGAAGGGGCCAACAGGTGCTGGAATTCTCACATGGCCGACCATTGTTTGAGTCCCACACCTGGCAGCTTGCTTTCTCATTCTCTCTCTCTCTGGCAAAACTCATGTGGAAAATAAAAATAATAAATTAAATAAAAAATAAAAAAAATAAATAGGGACCAGCAGATGGGGTAATGGTTATGTCACTGGATTCCCAAGTAGTCAACAGTGGTTTGAGTCCCAGATCCAACAGCCTAAAACTCATGCCCGGTGCATGTGCCTGCATGCCCATAATAATAATAAATAAATAAATAAGCTTATAAAAAGGTTGCTAAGGAAGCTGATAGGTCTAATGTAATTAAATATGTATATAGAATGAGAGAGAGGAAAGAAACCTTAGTCCAATGTAATCAGTGAGAGAGATCGCGGGTTGGCTAATGTCCCCCAAGCTGCGTTTCTCAGTCTTGACTGCATATTGAAATTATCTAGAGAGGTGTATGAGAGATATCAGCTTTACTGATACCCCCATCTTACCTCTAGAGGGCCTCTGTGCTAGACCGAATATACTGGTTTTCTTTGGGGCAAGGCAGTTTCTGTTTATGAAGGAAGATAAGGAGGATTTTGAGTAATATTTTTGTATATTATGAATGGACTCTCTAGTGTAAAGATTTACATAGCTTTTAACTATATCTTGTGTATTGGATTAGTGTGTCTGAAAAAACTTCTAGCTCTCTTCCTTTTTGTGAGAGATTTTGGCTATAGGGAATGTATGCTTTCCAGAGAAAAGGAGAGAACTCACCCCCTGGGGGGGATAGCCACGCTGCAGTCTCTTCTCTTCCATTTTTTTTCTTGGGACCTTGGGCACGCACGCATAGGTGCCCAGCATGAGTTTCAAGCCTCGAGGAACTCAAACCATGGCTGGCTATGTGGGAATCCAGCACCTTAACCACTATGCCACCTGCTGGCCCCCAAACCCCTAGCTTTTTAAAGTCACATAGAACTCAAACTTCAAGACATTCTTTGCCACTTGAGAGTTAATGATCCTGTTCTCTCTCCTTGGAGGGAGAACATATGAGGGAAATTAGGTCTGTAGGGGGTGGGGATACCTTTTAAGTTCAGGATATTATTCCTATTCTTTTCTCTTCTCTTCTCTTCTCTTCTCTTCTCTTCTCTTCTCTTCTCTTCTCTTCTCTTCTCTTCTCTTCTCTTCTCTTCTCTTCTCTTCTCTTCTCTTCTCTTCTCTTCTCTTCTCTTCTCTTCTCTTCTCTTCTCTTCTCTTCTCTTCTCTTCTCTTCTCCCCTTCCCTCCCCTCCCTTCCCCTTCCCTCTCCTCCCCTCTCCTCTCCTTCCCTCTCCTTTTTTTTTTTAAGAGGTTTTTGCTATAGGGTGCATGCACTCGCCAGAAAGACAGAGAGAGACAGAGAGATAGAAAGTGAGAAATCACCCCCCCCCCAGGGATGGCCACACGGCAATCCCTTCTCCATTCTCCTCCTGGGATCTTGGGCACGTATGCACATGTGCCCGGCGTGAGTTTAAGTCACAGGGTCTGGGACTCGAACTGCGGTTGACTATATGGGAGTTCAGTGACATAGCCATTATGCTAATGGTTGGTCCCTCCTCTTCTTTCCTTTTTTAAAAATTTTTGCTATGGGCGTGTGTGTTTGCTGGGGACAGAGACAGAGAGAGATAGGGGGAAAATGAGAGAGCACTCCCAAAGGGAATGACTATGGCACAATCCCTTCTCATTTTCATCTCAGGATTATGGGCATGCATACACACTCACCTGGCACATTTTTTCCAGTCACCAGGTCTGAGACTCAAAATGTGCAGTTGTAGCTTGCCTTAACCTCCAAGCCTTCAGCTGGCCCAGGATATCATTTCTTCATAGATCTTTGTATTGGAGTTGGTTACTTGCAGATTAGTAGTAGTTGGGATTTCCAGAGAAGAAAATCTGTGCCCCTTTGGGAAGAAAAAAAAAAAAAACCAAGACCAAAAACCTCCCCCAAAACTGAGAATTTCAGTAGGTTTTTAGATGTACTCACTTCTTGCATTTTCCATTTATTTTTGTCCTGTTACATTGTAGGTATTTTTGTTACAAGCTCCAAATCCTCTTTTTAGCATGAAGTAGGTTATAAATAGGTTTAATATACAAAAATGAATAGACTTCTTTCCTGCTGCTTATTCCCACCTGCGCTTCCAGAGGTGTACTGAGGACTACAGACACAAAAATGTGTCAGAACTGAGAGTCAAAAAGAGAACTGAACAGGCCTAAGGAAAATCAGGTGGTAACCTGAAAAGAATTTAAAGTTTGATTTATTTATTTCTTCTCCCTTTATATGAATGTTCACAAGACTTCTGATGAGCAGTTCTGAATAGTGGTTATAGCCAAACTATTTGTGTTCATTTAACGTAGGGCATGTTAAGGTGTGTAGAAAGAGGGGAGGATGATGACATGGAAAATTCTGTGAGTTGTGCTAAATTTTCTATGACTTCTGCACCAACAATCTCAGGAAGGCAAAACTGAGGCTTAAGGAATTCATTAATTTCAAGAGTTATAGGGAAAGTCATCAGACATTATGATTATTATTGTTTTATTTTTAAAAATTTATTTATTTTGTCTATGAGTAAGAGAGACAGAGAGATAGCACCCTGACAGGGTCTCGATGTTGCGATCCACCCCCTGTTTCAGCCAGCCTTGGACTGTGGTTGTGTGCCCAGTGTGCTCAGGGAGGTCTCAGGCTGTAAACCCAGAACCTTCCCATGTGAGTCAGCATCAGAGTGGTGTGTTTTATCCATCTGACCCCAGAACTCAGATTATTAATAAGATACTATTCACTTTGCTCAAGCCAGCTCTGGAATGCTTTATTTCCCTTCTCCCCCTCAGTTTTCTTTAGAGAAAATAAGCACAAAATCCCCTAGGTCTCAAATGCTGCTGGGAAAAACCCATAAAATAGACTAGTTGAGTGTCTCTACAGTGCAGAGGCAGCCCTGTCAACCTATGTGCATATTTCAGTATGCAGAGGGCATAAGCCAGCTACCGCAGTTATAAAGCCTCCCTGAGGATGTTGCAATGTTGAGGATGGGAAATTGGGCTTAGTTGTTAGTTTTTGAAATAATAACGTTGTGGGGCTGGCAGGTGAAACAGTGGTTAAGACGCTGGACTCCTACATGGCCGACCATGGTTTGAGTCCTGGACCTGGTGACTTGCTTTCTCACTTTCCTTCTCTGTTTCTGTCTGTCTCTCTCTGGTCAAATTAAAATATAATAATAATAATAATAAAAGAATTCTTAAAAGAAGAAAAAATTCTTAAAAAAATAATAATAATTGTGATTAGCTGGGTCTCCTGACTCTAAAGGTTCATAGTAGCAGTACTATGGTACTTGGTACTTGGTTCTGCACGGTTTCCTTTAAATATTGTCAAGTTGGCCTCACAAAACTAAAACTATTTCTGAAATCAGAGGATTGATGGCACAAAGTAAAATACAATGCAGCACAAGTGAAGGAGAGATTAAACATTAAAACAAGGAACCAGAGTTTTAGATCAGGCTTCTTGAAGATTTGACAGTCCAAGGATCAGAAGCATTTTATACAATGCATTTTTCTCTTTTATACATTTCTGATATATTTAAAGACTTTCGTATTGTATCTGTGGAGACTGTCTTTCTGCCCTGTTTCTCTGGGTGCTCTGAGACTGCCCTTTACTTGACTATATTCACTGCCTCCAGAAAAAATGTATCAAACATTCCTGACCCAACACTTTTTCTCCTATAGTTCTCTTTTCTGGAATGGCCTCTTCTTTTTATCTGTCCACATTCGGATGTGGCTGAAGCCTTTCCAGGACCCTAGCTTATACTGAGTCCTCACTTTTGACACTGCTCCAGTAGTTATGTCAGTATCATTTATTTCCCATCACTGCACTGTCTCATTTTGCTTACTGGCTTTTTTTGTAACCTAACACCCAGCATTGAATACTGTTGGTTACTTAAAAGTTGATTTCTTCCAGCTGGTAGCCATGCAGGGCCTAAAACTTTCTGGCACAGTTGAGAGGAGGAATGGGGATCCCTTATTGTATCTTTATTGAAAAACAGCATGGGGTGGTAGTAGATGGTGACGGCAGTGTGGGCTTTTTTTTTTTATTTTTATTTATTTATTTATTTATTTTTAAAAGAATTATTTATTTAATTTTATTTATTCATCTATTTTAATTTGACCAGAGAGAGACACAGACAGAGAGAAAGAATATAGGAACGTGAGAAAGCAAACCACCAGGTCCAGGACTTGAACTGTGGTTGGCCATGTGGGAATGTCTAGCGCCTTAACCACCACACCACCTGCTGGTCCCAGTGTGGGCTTTTTAGATAACATTAATCTGTTTCATGGCAAAAATGGTAGCTGATCAGGCACTGAGAACTTTTTTTTTTTCTTTTTGAATAGGTTTTTACTATAGGGCACGTGTGCTCGCCAGAAAGACAGAGAGAGACAGAGAGACAGAAAGTAAGACATCACCCTCTCTCTCCCAGAGGGGATGACCACGCCGCAATCCCTTCTCCTCTATTCTCCTCTATGGGATCTTGGGCACACATGCGCATGCGTCTGGTGTGAGTTTAAGCCACCAGGTCCGGGACTCGAACCGTGGTCGACTACATGGGAGTCCAGCGACATAGCCATTACGTCAACTGCTGGTCCCAAGGCACTGAAAACTTTCTATCATTTTTCTAATTGACACTAAGCTTAACTTTTATATGGCAGGTAGAATATCACCTGATTTGAACTTTTTCTGGTTCTCTAATGCCAAAATGGTTTAATATCTATAAAGCATTTAGCAATCAATCAACTAATGTCTTTGGGTCATGAGCATGAGGCTAGACTTTTCTGGAACCTAAAATAACATTAAAAGTAAAAATTTTTTAAATTAGCTCTGAGAAATTCTGCACAGTAGAAAAGATCAGACCTTAGAACTGTTGGGTCAGTGCCTCGGTCGGCGTGAAGTGGGTCTGCCTGCGCCCTCCAGGGCTGGGCCTGCAGGGACGAGCTTTGCACCCAGCCCCGTTCCGCGCCGAGCTGCGCAGCTCACCTTGCCGGTCTCTGAACTCCACCCGGTAGGTGCCTGGGGACTTGCCCAGGTCGCTTGGGTCGAGGAGCCGGACCGTGCACTCCCCGCCGCCCGACTGCCGGCTCTGGAAGTAGTTTTCCAGTTTCCATTGCGCCCGGCGGCTGGACTCCGACACCCGCACGAAGAGCGGGGACGGCGGGCAGGAGCTGGAAGCCATGGCTCTCGACGGCGGGCCGGGCCCGGGCTGGCAGAGGCTTGCCAGACAGACAGAGACAGACAGAGAGACAGAAAGCGAGAAATCACCCCCCAGGGGGTATGGCCATGCCACAATCCCTTCTCCATTCTCCTCTCGGGATCTTGGGCATGCACGCACACGTGTCCGACGTGAGTTTGAGCCTCCGGGTCCGGGACTCAAACCGTGGTCGACTACGTGGGAGTCCAGCGACATAGCCATTACACTAAATGCTGGTCCTCCAGATTGCAAATTCTAATAGCACTTCAAAGTGAAGCATTCATTACTATCTATAGGAAGCACCTAAGTTATCTCCAAAGGGAGCCAAAGCCATTCGGATGGTTGGGGCATTCAGGGATGGGGGAAGGAAGGTGTTCTTTAGTAGAGCTCTGAAAGCTAACTAGGAGATGATATTACAGCCCATGTGTGTGGATAGTCTATTACTAAAAAGACAGATGAAGAACTCAACTGGGCAAAGTGACTGCCTATAGGATAGGCAGGTGAGTCGGGGGTTCTGGGAGAGAGGCTTTTTTTAGTTGAAGACTTTTATCTGGGTTATTCTCTAATGCTATACTATTTACCTTAAGACATAAAACATTAGGAGATAGAAATTTTATCCTGTCTATTTAAAACAAAGCAAAAATCTACCCAGAAATAGCAACAAGTGATGGCAGTAGAACAGGGAATAAAACCACTTATAGGTAGAGCCTAAAACAAATCACAGAGCATGCTCAGAATCTACAACTATGGGAGGTGTAATCCAGCAAAGGGATAATAAGTGCTCGCAATAAAAATTCTATTGTCTGTCTATTCACAGGGTTTCTGAATAGGACAAAAGCTTCATGGCAATCAGATGATCACTCTTTAGTTATATGACGTTCTATTGATTATTAAATGAATTTTTGTAGATTTATGGATCTTTAGAATCTTTTCAAAGCCTTTCAAGAAATAAAGGTTTAAACTAATCATTTAAGACAGAATTTGATAATGAATCTTGTCCTTTTTTTCCCTTTTCAGACAGATATGATTGTTAATTCTGTAAGCCCATATAGTCTTAGAATTGGACCTGTGTCGAAGTCAATTCTACAACATGCAGGACCTGAAATGGAATGGGAATTTGAACAAAAAACTAAATGGCTTCACGGTTCCCCACCAGTAGTAGTCACAAAAGGATATAAGTTGTCCTGCCAATACATATGCCATGTAATATGGCATACAGCATATGCTCCCGATCAGATATTGAAAAATGCAGTGGGGGAGTGTTTGAAGAAATGCATCGAGCTAAACAAAACTTCTATTTCCTTTCCTACCCTTGGGACCAGAAGCATTAATATGAGGAAAGATAAAGCAGTGGAGATTATGTTTGAAGAAGTTTTAAAATTTGCCAAAGACTGTGCAGAAAAAAAGCTAATAGTAAATTTTGAGATCTTTCCAGAAAAACTAGAGATGTATAAGGTTTTCATAGCTGAAATGGAAAAGGCCAAGAAATGGAGTCTCAGCAATTATAGTGTCCTCCCATCCAGAGAGGAGAGAGGAGAAAATCGTTTTGAAGCTAGTTCTTCTGTCATCAATCTAATGGGATACAAAAACGAAGAGATGTGTGAGGCCAAACTGTGGATTGAAAGGCTACTGACCCTCCGGGACCACCACATCATTGAGAATAATCATATTCTCTACCTCAGGGGAAAAGAACATGACATGTTGTCTCAGCTTCAGAAAACCTCAAGTGTCTCCATCTCAGAGATTATCAGTCCAGGAAAGGCGCATTTAGAGATTAAAGGAGCCCAGCCTGATCTCATTGAGGTGGTTCTGAACATTGAACAAATGCTATGTGAGGTTCATGAGTAAGTAGCAAGAAAAAAGGAGCGAGGCCTTTGGAGCCTGTCAGGTAAGTAACTTTCTGTACTACAAAGTCTGTTCTCCCAATGAGAGCAGGTGTGAATGAGTACATATGTATGGGTGAGAGAAGAGGTGTGAGTATGTACGTAGGTGGGTGAGACCCACAGAATGGGAGAGGAGAGGACAAAGCATGTGTTAGGCCATAAACTTCCATGAGCCTTTTTTTTGCTCTCTACCCTCAGGGTTATGTATTGGTAAATGAACACACAGGCGTGTATGTATGCACACACACTCAGTTGGATTTATTTATGATGACTTGAAGTGCCGAAGAGGTAATTACATGGAAAACCGAGGCTAAAATTCAAGCCTAGGCCCTGGGGAAAAAAAGAGTACATCCCTAATTCTGCAGAAGGAGCATCCAAATGTAGACACAGCCCACCTGATTAATTTATGCTGTTAGAGAGTTCCATTGCATTTATTTGTTGTGGACAGCTTTAGGGACCCTAAAATTACTCACTTATAGCCCTTTCATCAATGAAATGACCCATTGGCATTGCGAGGTATGCTCCAGTATCTCCCAGAGTGGAGCTGCATTCACCAGATAACTGTTAACCGTGGGAATTAGGGTCTGGGGAGGTCTTTTTATCAGAGCAGTAGAGCCAACCAGGAAATTATACCATTTAAAATGCCACCCCAGGAGTTAGAGGATTATTTCATTCTTTTATTCCACTAATGCCTGTTGCATCATGCCATGTGTCAAGCATTGTGCTAGTTGCAGGGAATACAGAGATACACAAGATGGACATTGTTCCTGCTCAAAGTCTAACTGGGAATAGTGACAAGCAAGCAGATTAGTTATGAGAGAGGGCGGTGAACGTGCTCAGGGAGCACAAGGTGAGGCCCTATGTGTAAATAATAAATAATTTGAAGGGAAAAAAAAAAAGAACTGTTGGGTCAGTTACCTTCATTATCTTAGTTTCTGAATCAGATGAAAATCAGATCATTGCATTCTCACAGACGGATTAATCCATTAAAAAATTTCCAAATAGTAAATTAGGCAGCTTTGGCCAGGTAAGGCCTTTGGTAGCTCCTTACAAAAAAACGAGGACAGTCATATTATCACCTAGTACACCTAATTCTCTAGGCCACTGGTTCACATTGCTTCCCCAAGTCAGAGAGTTGAGTTGTCTTGGATTTCACTTCTGTCTGCAGCAAAATTATACTTATGATATAGTATTTTCTTTTCTTTATGCCTGATCGAGTGTGTGTGCATACACAGAAGAGTGAGGGAAA